GGTGAGGCGGGTGATAGAGGAGAAACGGGGCCAAAAGGACCGAAAGGTGAGCGTGGACCACAAGGACCGGCAGGAATGGATAATGCAGGATAAAAGCAACAGAAGTGGAATTTGTCTGAGATATGGAAACAGTTCTTCTCAGTGATACCAATTTTCTCATTTTATTGTTTTTTGTTTGTACTAACCTATCTTTTATGTATGCCACAAAATTCATCGATCTNAAATCGCTGTCAGTGCTTTAATGGAATTTGATTACAAATATATAAAATATAAAATAATTTATGCATAATAAACGAAATTTCCACATACATAACTTCCCCGAAAACTATTAATATATTTTTAAAAAAGATTGGAATGAATAAAATTGCACAGACTTGGCCTATTTTTTCAGTAATTATTTTTCGGTAATTATTATATTTTCTTCCGAATACTTTAGAATTATTTCAATTAATGCAGAAGTAATGTTGTTAGAGAGCAAATTAATAAATTAATTTAATTAATTTATCAAATTTCATACCGCATTTGATAGGCACTATTTGCTGATAAATTTATGCAAACGAATAAAATATTCTGATTTAGCACTTTTTGGACTTAATGAAATGAATGCAATAATTCAAACGGAAACAAAAAAGCTGTGACAAACAGTAAGATATTGATTATTGTCATTTGCATGTATGACATAAAGAGATAATTTGAACAGTTTAGGGAAATCGATAATAATTTGAACAGTTTAGGGAAATCGATAACTGAGAAAGCGTTTCAACCATGTAATTTCAAATATCGCTACTCGAGACTTCAGACACTCCAATTGTCAGCAATAGCTATCGATGTCCATTTCTTTTTGATAAAAATCTCGTCCAGAAAATCTCTTGTTTTAGTCATCAGTATTTGCTCATTTTTCCTCGTGAATATCAAAAGTTCAAATTTGACTTTGGTGTTGGCGAAAAAGCCGGAAGATATGCTAAGTTGTATAAGGGACCAAATGATCGTTGGTTAACCATGGGCTTTATCTATAATGTCTCGGTGATTAACCATAGGCCTTACCTGTTTTGTATGCCTGGATGATCATTTCCGGAAAAAGATTTAACGATCTATATTAGCTGTTTAAAAACGTGTTATTGTTATTCGTTAAACAGTATAGAGAAAATTTGCAGTAAGTGTGCAGAAGTAATATATTTCCTGAAGGATTTAATTATTTCCAATTTGATGAATAAAAGAAAGAATTTGACTATTCTATCATATGTTTTTTTATTCCGCAATTAATTTAATTGCAAATGACATCATAAAAATGAAGTGAAATTAAATTCGGTTATAGTAACATTAAGTTAAATATTTGTATGACCGAAAAATTCAAATTATTTTATTATATTAGGGCAGTTTATAGGAATTATATCTTCATGTTGTTATCAGAATTAATTGGTCATAATTAACAACAATTTCCATAAATGTTAAAACTAATCACTTTGTAACTTTCTAATTAATTAGTAGCTTTTATCATCTTTGGATGATATCAGGAAGGAGGCAATAGTTGGAAACTTCTCGCATTTTGCGAACAACAACAACAACATATCATATATTAAGTACAACATAAGCAAGCATTTAATTTTAAACATAAATTACAAAATTAACTTTTAATAATGGGATAGTGTATGAATAGCAATATTTTTGTAATATGCCATCTAATAAGGACGTTGATTAATTCATTGAATAAATTAAAATTTC